TAACATTTATATTATTCTGTGCTTTCACTGGCACATCATTTATTTGCACTAACTCTCTGAGCAGTTACATCAGAATAAATGGTTTTGAAAGACATTTTCTTCAATGGATAAAGAAAGGTCAGTGACAGAATTGAATCAGAATTTACATTTTAATGTGAACCTTTAATTCCATCATCATGTGTAGTTTCATCACTAAGGTATTCCATTATGTTCTCCTTCTCTCCCTCATTCAAAAACTTAGCACCAAATAAGTAGAATTTAGAATCATCTTATGAACAATAATCCCCTCCTCTTCATTTCTACAAAAATTTTAGTCATTACTGCAAAAAAAAACGTCAATAAAATACAAAAACAAATCCACACCTACGATTTCTACATCCTACCAAGCCCCCCAATACAAGGTCCTGCCCCATCATGCTTAAAGTGATCCTCCACACTCAGTACCATCCAAATACAAGGCAAACAAACCCTTAGAGACTATAGTGGCCACAAACAGACCCAGCAATGTGTTAAATAAAGGCAGGGAACATACCGTCACGTCATCTTCTAAGTCAATATCTTCTAAGACGTCATCATCAATGAAAACGAAATTCAATTCAATGAACTCGATTAATTCTCTTTCATAGTCCATGCGGTCTTTGTATGCCGCCACAGACTGAGGGGAAGAAGAGTATGGGTGTTTGTAATATAATAAGTAAATGGAAAAACAGTGATTGATGATGATAAAGATGACAGATATCAAACCTTTAAATTATACAGAAAGTAATAGCTTATTCAGCACATGATAATTCTTTTTTTCAAATGTATCAGACATACATATTTGAAAGAGAGAGAGAGAGAGAGAGAGAGAGAGAGAGAGAGAGAGAGAGAGAGAGAGAGAGAGAGAGAGAGAGAGAGAGAGAGAGAGAGAGAGAGAGAGAGAGAGAGAAAGAGAGAGAGAGAGAGAGAGAGAGAGAGAGAGAGAGAGAGAGAGAGAGAGAGAGAGAGAGAGAGAGAGAGAGAGAGAGAGAGAGAGAAATACCCACCTTTCGTGGAACGAACATATCATCAGTCACGTCTTCACTGCTTAAGTAGTACTGCTTGTTACGTTGCTGAATTGGGTCCTCAGGATCCAACAGGAGAGAAGAGGCCACGGCTTCACACGCCTTTTTGATATTGTCTTCTACAATTGACAATAAGACATGTCTATTACTGACACATTTCTATTTCTAAAGTATATTTGTGAATGGATGATTAATTCTACTCTTAAATGAACTTGTATCACAGGTAGAAGAAAATTTAATGATCAAAGAATATGAGGAAAGAAGATAACTTAAACTAATCTAAAACATTTTCTATTTCAATTCCTATCTTTATCGTTTTCACTTGAACATACCCTGATAATAAGCAAACTGCAGATAATTGAAATATGATGCAAGGAAGTTTTGAATAGTTTCCCCCATCAAGTTTCCGTGGGCTCTGTTGCACCTTCTCTTGCAACGTATGGTATAGGTGTACTGATCTGTTGAAAAGAGAATAATATTTCACGTTCTGGATACAAAATGGAAGCGCTTTAAAAAGTTATAAGCAATCTTTAAACAGCAATTAGTGTAACTATTTACTGTATGTAATAACTTTTTCACTTACGATAATGCTTCATACTTACTTGCAATTGTCATTATGAAGTCCTCGAGTATTTTCTGCTCGATGGAATTCTCACAGAGTCTGCGGCATTCCTGGTCAGCCTTGTAGTAAAGCTCTAAGCTCTTTTCCATGTGCTCGATTGTCCCAGCATAGTCCTCATTGTTATAGGCTACTGTTCCTTTGATGTATTCACTACCATATTCCTGAACATAAGCATCACATTATGTAGAATATACTCACTCTATGGGAATTCATCATAACATAATTCTTAAATGTTAAAATAAGTTCATCATCCTGACAATTTCAAAATGTTTCATATTCATAATAATTTTAAGAAATTTGATAATATAAATAATTCATAAATCTGTTCAAATACAATACACATTAACTAAATATATATAATAAATATATCACTCTTTTACTGAAGGAAAAGAAAGAAGACCAGAGTGGATTTTTCTTTCATCTCATCCCTTTCAGAATATGCTATTTCTTTTCTCAGTTTAACTGCATTTAAAAATCATGTCTTACACAATCCCGTTATTTTTCGGAAATACATCTTTGAATTCTAAATAATTCACTTCTAAAATAAATAAAACAATCATACATACATTCACTCAGTAATCAGTAATACATTTGATAATTTACATCACAAAATGCAAGATCATAAAAAACAGGGGGTGTGAAATATTATTTTAAAGGCAATAACATACAGAAATGCCAACTTTAGTGGACAGAGGGGGGTTGCATCTAATTATAATCAATGCGCTTTTTCTGTGGCAAGAATGAAGAGATTTGTGCTCTTTCTCTTTTTCTCTCTCTCTTTCCTATCGTACTATCTTTCTCCTGCCTTTCTTATTTGCATTTGTATAATCTCACC